ACTCCCATGTGAAAGTCCCCTTTCAGTCCCGCTTTGGGATTCTTCACCTTTAGGGACTCTTCAAGCAAGAATCTTCTTCAAATCTTTTTCCATTGCAATATTTCATTGACTTTGTCTTTCAGAGAGATGAAGACACCAACCTCACTTCAGGTTACTGACAGAAAAGACTACAGGATGACATGAGAGGTGTGGGCTGTCCCCATCAAAAAAGAGATAGGTGACAGTGTTATAATTTTTCGGTGATGAGGTGGAAATCTACTACAGACCCCCCTTCCCACCCACCCCAAAGCAGGAATACACACAATACACACGCCAGCTCTGGAGGCAGCAACTCTGATTCTTAAGGATATTGAAAATCTGCCTCTCTACAGTTTCTAACTCCTAGCTTTGCCCATTGGAGCCAAGTAAAATTACTATAATCCCAATTTCACTTAACAGCTCTCCAGATGTTAGAAGATAACTATCATATTCAGCCTTTCCCCTCCACCTCTCCCACCACTCCCAATCACATGTTTGTTTCCTTCAATTCCAGTCTTTATAGGATATGATCTTAACATTCAGGTCCCTGTCTCCAGGAAGTTAGGTTTGCCCAAACCTTGGTGGTCTTTGACACTGTCATGGTTTTTTACTGGTCTGTTTAAATTGTGTTTCAGGATGATAGGCCAGCTCTAGTGATGTTTACAGTGGCACAGTATGTACACCAAACTGATGTCAGTGTTTGTCTCCAGAGCCCAATCTCCTGACACCAAAGGGAAACAGTCTAACTTGGCTCTGTGAATAAAGCTCAAGTTTGCTAACCAGGAAAAGGATGCCTTTCCTCACATATAATTTAAGGCTGAAGCCAGAGAAGAGACCGAATACACATTACCCTGGTCTAGTCTGTCAACTACCTGCTGCTTATAAAACTGGCAAAACATTTGCCGCAGAAGTTCTTCTAGCACCATAGGAGCCAATCATTGAGCCACAAGGCTCAAACCCAGTTGGTTGCCTTCTAGTTGACTTTGACCTTTGTGGTGAACTACACAAAATCAGGCTTGCACGCAGGATGCATTTGTGCCCTCATTGCCAAGCCCTGCCTCCATTAGGCCACAAGGTAAGTAAATGCTGATTGGACTTGAACAGAATGCATGCTCCAAACCATTCAGGTGTGCAGCAAGACCCTCTGGCTTTGGATAAGGTGTAACTCTGTGTCACAGAATCAGTGAGGAAATGGTGAGAGAGTTGCCCCAAATCCACTGAAGCAAGTCATCTCACCTCATGAATCACCTGTTGGATACCAATGGCTATAACCAGGGACAGCAAGTTCACTACCCTTCCCCCACACTCCCAGAAAAGAGATTTTTTGTTCAGTCCAGTCCAACTCTTCGTTACCCCATTTGGGGTTTTCTTGGTAAAGATGCTGGAGCAGTTTGCCCTTTCCTTCTCCAGCTCATTTTGCATTTACTGAGGCAAATAGGATTAAGTTACTTGCTCTGGGTCAAACAGCTAAAGAAGTGTCTGAGATCAGATTTAAACTCAGGTCCTCCTGACTCCACACCCAGCACTCAATCCACTGCACTACCTAGCTTCCCCAGAAGACAGATATATAGAGGTTCAATATTAGCTCTTGCTTTTCTTTATTCAATCCAAGAGGGTAAGGGTGCTCTTTGGGAGCACACCATCCTTAAGGTGAAAGGAAATGCAGGATCAAATAAAAATGTTAACTGAACCTACATTTCTGCAAGGGTGCTAGATTTGAACAACCTAGGTCTGGTATCATAGTCAATTGTGCCAGTCCAAATCGCGCACACTCATTCAACCAATTCAGCCAACCAGGGTCATACTCACCATAGCATCGGAGGCCACCCGGGTAAAACCAAAAACGAGCCGATCGGGGGGTGCAAAAACCTGAACTTTATTCATTTATCATCACAGCAAGGCCAGGCAGGAAGGCACACGCGCGGGCAGGAACAAAAGCCGACTCCGCCCCCCCTCTCCCTGCAGCTCCTTTTAGTACCTTCTTCGTCCCTCCTCCTCAGCCCGCCCATAGTGACTCGTCAAGGATCAAATATCAAAAAGCGGATGTCCAGCTAGTGTCCAGACAAAGGGAGCATACGTGGCACAGGAAGTGGGTCCCAGAGATTTGGAAGGAGGAGTGAGGGATTAGTGCATAGAGTACACGTGACGCAGGAAGTCGGGTCCAGATACCGGGGGGAGGTGTCTGGGGTCGGTGTTATACCTAGGGAGCATACATGACTCAGGAAGTCAGGTCCAGATACCGGGAGGAGGTGTCCGGGTCGGCATAGTACCCAAAGAAGGAGGCCAGACAGAGAGAGTTCGCTCTCTGCCGTCCCCCTCCAAGCGGCACAGTCCTTGCCCGGGGAACAGGCGCTCCGGCCACTTCCCTGTACCCCGCTTCCTCCCCAGCCTGTCACAGCTCCATCCAGCACCGCTCCAGTCTCGGGAGCGTGAGCTCCAGTTACCTCTCTGACCCCAGATCTCATCCCAGTATGCTACAGCTCTGCCCAGCACCGCCTCTGCCCCTGGAGCAAGAGCTCCAGTTACTTTCTGGTACCCAGTTTCCGTCCAACGTTGGCACAACCCTCATCTGGCAGTAGCTGGCATCAAACAGTCCCTCACAGTCAATCTTGCATCTCAGGCTGGATTTGTGGTATGGTGCCCCATAGTGATTTCTAGCTAGAAGTATGTGTTCTTTGCAGTCATGGAAATCCCTTTGGATTTCATATTGGGTAGGGAGTACAGGCTTTTATTTGCCATCAATACTTTAACGATAGCACATTTCATCTCTGACCTCACTCATATTTTTCAACATTCTTAGGAGTGATTCCAAGGTGTCAACCAGCATGGCTAGATCTTTTTCATAGGCCAGGATATCTCTTTTCCTGCAGTGTGGATCAAAGCCCAGAATTGTCCTCTACACAACTCAGATCACAAGTTCCACAACTAAATTTTAAAATTTCTACACAAATATCAATATTTAGGGAAAAGTCATCATTGGTAGTTGGAGTTCCTATTGGTAGATGGAGTTTCTATTACCCAAATATAGTCAAATCAAGTGAACAAGCATTGATTCAGTGCTTCCTATGGGCCCGGCACTGGGCTTAACTGCTGTGAATGCAAATACAAGCAGAAAGAAGACAGTCCCTGCCCTCAAGGACCTTCCATTCTAATGGAGAAGGCAACACATACCAGGAAGCTGAAAAGCCCTGTGTGGGTTGGAAGAAAGAAGGTATCTGTGAAGGGGCATGGTAGAGAAAACCTAGAGAGTCAAGGTGGATCCTGGAGAGGAATTAAGATGGCGTACTTCCCTTAAAATGGAGCTTCTGGGAGGAACCAGCCAATGGGAAAGGTACTTCTGTGGCAAAGCATATTTCCAGTGTGAGAAGTCTAGAGGCAGAGCGAACTCTAGCAGCTCCCTAGGTGTGATTAAACAAGTTAATAAGACAAAGATGTAATGTAAAAAAATTTTTTTAATTAATTGGAATAGTAAATTTTGAGAAAAGCCACAGGATCAGGCTGTTTTATCTAAGAACTATATACAGATGTATATGATTGGCTTCCAAATTTATCTATCACGAAAATTCAGGCTTTAAGTATGTTTTAGACTAAGTTCTAAGGTTTTATTAACATGGAAAGTCTCCCAGTTATTTTTGTTGCCTCTCCATCCTTTGTCATCCTTCTGTTGCCCAACATGGAGAGATGACCACGATCACATAGCCAATGTGAATGACTCTGGTTGCCAACCTGTGGTCTGCCCTTCTATTGATCTGTTGGCCCATGTAGATGTTTTGATATCCGATTATCAGTCCAACCCCATGAGCCTGCTCTTCAGCTTGGTAGGACCTCCTGAAAGGTCATGATAGATCTGTTAAGGTCTGCTCACTAGCCCATTTGTCAACCAATGAGATTCTGTTTTTTTGGTCTGCTTCACCTGTATCGTCCAGGTAGCAAGCACTATAAAACTAAGACCCTGGAGAAAGTGGGCATCACAGATAGTGAGAAAGATCTGAGGTCCACTTTATGTGAGAGGGTCATACAGTGCCATTGGCTCAGAGCTCTGCTTCAATGTTTTTTCTTGTAGATTGGACAATTTTGAAAATCCCCACACCCGATTAAGTTTCAGTAAAATAGAATTAAAATCAATTTTCAATTTTCCAGTTGCCTAACAACAGTATGGAGGCAGCAAGGTGGCTAAGTAGTTAGGGGACTGGGCCTGGAGTCAGAGAGATCTGAGTTCAAATTTGGCCTCATATACTTACTAGCTGTATGACCTTGGGCAAGTTACTTAAACTCTGATAGCCTTAAGCCACTGGAAAAGGAAATGGCAAACCATTCCAGTATCTTTGCCAAGAAAACTCCATTGACAGTACTGACATGCTATGATTCACAGGATCATGCAGAGTTGAACGTGACTGAAAAACTAAATAACAATGACAACAATGACAGCAACAGTGTGAGCCTGATTCCAGGATAGGACATTGAACTCAAAAATGTATTCTCTTCACCAACCACCACAAGGTAATTTCCCCCATAGGATTTAATGTTTCCAGCCTGTTCTTCAGATTTCTCTGCAAAATAGCATTACTAATATCCTTATTACACCCTTTAGACAAAATCAGATTTTTCTATTTGAAAGTTTTGCTTTGTTTTATTTTGCAAGCACTGTGTCTCAGACTTATTCCTACCAAAAGGCTACCAAACTTATCATGTCTTCTGCTGAAAAATGTTCTCTGCGGCAAAATTGAACAGCCTATACTCCCCTTACATTTAATAACTAACTCCCTATGTTTAATATCAGCCAACAGACAATATAAAACCAAAAACTTTCCTTCTCCTTTTTTCCTACAACACCAATGGCATACAGCCTCTGCTTCCCCACCTCTACTAGGCACAAACAAAATGTGTTCTTCCATACTCAATGGGGAAATCAGAGTTTCTGAGAGAACTCTCTGAAAAAGAAACCCATATCTTTCTATTAAACAGAAAACTTACTCCCTGGGGGAAGGTAAACCATTTCCAGAAGTCCTTCAATACTGAGGTTGATGTGTGGGGTGGAGAGAGCGAGTTCTTATTACATCTTCCTGTTTCAAAACTCCCTTTAATATATTGTCTTGACATAGAAGACTTATCTGGTATTAATCTGATAAGAAAAGATATTATACAGAATTTTAACAACTAATTAATAATTTAAAAAGCAAATGTACAACTACTGTCACATTATAATGATGTAAATCTGAAATTTTCATTCTTAAAAAAATTACCAATGAAATAAACCACATATATTCAATATCTAACAATAATAAACAGGATATAAAAACAATAACCTACAAACATTTTTAAAGTGCCAACTATGCTCCAGGCATTGTGTTAAGTGCTGGGTATGCAAAAAGAGGCAAGACAGTCCCTGTTCTCAAGGAGTTTACAATCTAATGGGGGAAAATAACATGCAAACAAATATATATACAAAGCAAGATAAATAGGATAAACAGGACAAATAGTAAATAATTAACAAGAATAGTATTTCAATACCCCTGTAAAAAGTAAATAATTCATCATTTCTGGGTTAAGAGATCAAAATAGTAAGAGATAAAGTAATTTCAACTCTCTCCATTACGTAGGATACCAAGCACTCAAACAAGGTATAAAAAAACATCAAACTAATTGCAGAGAAGGCTGCAGGCATACTTTGGAGATATTGTGGGTTCAGTTCCACACCACTGCAAGGAAGTAAATATTGCAATAAATCGAGTCACATGAATTTTTTGGTTTCCCAGTGCATATAAAAGTTATGTCTACACTATACTATAGTCTACTAAGTGTATAAGTAGTATTATGTCTAAAAATGTATATACCTTAATTCTAAAAATACTTCATTGCTAAAAGTGTTAACCATGCTCTAAGCCTTCATCAAGTCATAATCTTTTTGCTGGTGGAGGGTCTTGCCTTACATTGATGACTGCTGCCTGATCAGGATGGTGGTTGGCAATTTCTTAAAATAAGGCAATGAATTTTCCCGCGTAGACTGACTCTTTCTTTCACAAAGGATTTCTCTGTAGTATGTAATACTGTTTGTGGGTAAAAATTCTACCCACAATAGAACTTCTTTCAAAATTGGAGTCAATTCTCCTAAACCCTGCTGCTGCTTTATCAACTAAGTTTGTGAAATATTCTTCAATATTGTTGTGTCTCACAGAATAGGGAGGCTCACAGAGAGAGATGGGGGCATGACTCATCAGTGGAGCAGTCAGAACACACACAACATTTATTAAGTTCACCATCTTATATGGTGCCCTAAAACAATTACAATAGTAACATCAAAGATCACCGATCACAGTTCACCATAACTGAGATAATTATAATGAAAAAGTTTGAAATGTAAGAATTATCAAAATGTGACACAAAGACATGATGTGAACACATACTATGGGAAAAACGGTGCCAAGAGACTTGTTTGATGCAGGGTTGCCACAAATCTTCAATAATTAAAAAAAAAAAGCCACAATATCTGTGAAGTGCAATAAAGCAAAGTGTAATAAAATGACTGTATGCCTGTAATCTATAACCCAGGGTGGGGAATCTGCAGCCTCAAGGTCACATGTGGCCCTTTAGGCCCTTTGACTGAGTCTAAACTTTACAGAACAAATCCCCTTAATAAAAGGATTTGTTCTGTAAAGCTTGGACTCAGTCAAAAGGCCATATGTGGCCTTAAGGCTGCCAGTTTCCCACCCCTGCCCTAACTTTTAACTTGTTCACTCAACACCCTCTTTCCACACCACTCCCCAAGAGGGCAGGGCTGCAAATGCCTTCACAGCTCAGGGAGAAACCAAAAGGCAGGAGTTTGTCTTGGCTGAAAAAACAGCATGGTAGTGCCATGTCCTTCAAAAGAGATCAGCCAGAGAACTGAAGAACAGAGGGAACTGGGGCAGGACACATTTGTCACCTCCACTAAGCCTGAGAAGAAGGGCCTAGAATTTAGCTAGGACTAACTCAGTCTCCCAGAAGTTAACTGGGGGCAGAGGCCAGTGAATTATGGGATGAGTCTGATATGGCTTTGAGGTCTAGTCCCCATGCTACTGAAATCAAAAGGGAAAGAGAAAGTAAGCAAGAGAACAAAATGAAAAGAAACTGAAATGACTAAAGATCTCAGGAGGAAGAAAACCAAGTTATAGACCCAGAGAATAAGTAAATGAACTAACAGTGAAGATATGAATAAGAGAGGGGAATGTGGCTTCAAGATCAGCCAAACAAGTCCAAACTGATGAAAAATTAGCACAACACAAAGAAAAAGAAACCAACACTTGATAATGCAGAGAATCATATGGATTTAAAAGAAAGCGTGGAACCAAAGTAGTATGCTCCTGAATGGTTTACAAGAAAAACAGTAATTGTGAAAACATAAATTGTGGTCTACACAGCAGAAATAATTGACAGAATAGAAAAAAAAAATGAATCCACAGTGGTAAATCTCACTAAAGAAACAAAAGGGAGAATAATACAAAGGTGTATGAAACATGGTACCTTTTTCAAAGAGCTTTCTATCTCATAGGGGGTGATACCACTTACACTCAACGTGATAGAATACAAATGTAGGAAAGGACTTGGCATGAATTTGGACATTAAGGAGAGTAGCCCTAAACTTAACAATATTGATATATGTCCATGGAATACCAATTGGATTACAGTTAAAGAGGAATTTGCATTATTGGGGCAGCTAGGTGGCACAGTGGATAGAGCACTGGCCCTGGAATCAGGAGGACCTGAGTTCAAATCCGACCTCAGACCAAACACTTGACACTTATTAGCTGTGTGACCCTAGGCAAGTCACTTAACCCCAACTGGCTTAAAAACAAAAAAAAAAAAATAGATACCATTATTGTGTACATTATAAACCAGATTATAGGACTACAGATACCAGACATTATGGAATGCATTGCAGTAATCACTTTTATACACTTTACCACATTGTAAAAATAAAAATGTTTATCTTGTAGAGGACATTGCATAAGACAACCCTGTCATATTCTGATATATATGTTAATAGTCAGGGCAAAACCAGTATGACAAATCCATAGATAATCTCAACACAATCTTCATTCAGATAATCCATTGATGAGTTAACCAGAGCATAGCACATGTCACTGACCCCAAAGAATTTGCTAAATGCCTCCAAAGTAATCCAAATGTATGCTGTTGAGGGTATATACCTCTGATAATATACTGCAATTAAAATCCACTTCAGTGGGAATAAATAGAAGGATCTGAAAGGGAGAAAGAGAGAAATAAGGAGAATTGAACTTCAGTGAATTAAAAGGACCTGGAAATAGAACAGGTAGAAGGAGTCAGGAGCTGATAGGTAAGGGAGCTGTTGTCATGCATTCCATTGAGTTCCTGGTTGAGAATTCCAGAGGGAAGGAGAAGAGAGCCTGGGTTTTGTTTTTGTTTTGGTAGTCTTCTGGTTTGACATCATCAAGTCAGGTCAAAGTGCCTCTTCCAAGCCTAGAAGTATTTGACTCTCCTACCCTTCTCTAGTCCAGTATTGTTTCTCTACATCACGGCACTGAAAATAAGTAGCTGGTTCAACAAATAGCCAGTACAAAAACCAGGGAAGAGTCCTTCCCTTTCTGCAAAAGAATTCTTTTTTTTTTTTTTGGCATCTGCAAACCCCTTTGCGTCTGGACCCCTTTCATTTTCCTCCGGGGCCACTAAATGACAGAGTTCTCTATGCAAGAAGCAGGACCACCAACAAAGTTAAAGAGCCTTCAAAGAAGACTGGCTGGGTGTTGAATGGAAGAGGGTGGATGAAGAAGATCCAGATAGTGTAAGCAGATAGTAAAGGTGGGGTAGGCTCCACAGAACTGGATAATCCAGAGATGAAATAAAAGCCAACTGGTACAACAAAGGGTATCACCAAGAAGGTCTTTCAGGAGGGACCAGCAGATCAAATTAACTGCAAAATCAAAACAACACTTATTGAAAATAGTCCAAAACGTGAACATACAAGCTAATTATCAGGCAACATATTAGCAAATACACTTTAACAATAGCATAGAAGTAATCATGGAAGTGTCATATTGACAGCAATAGTAAATAATCAGTTTTTAAAAGTCAATCAAGTAAAAGTTGTAGAAAACGACAATGGCAAATATATGATGTATAAATATATTTCTTTCATATTTAAAATTTATATAAAATATGTTAAATTAATAAAATAATGCTCAAGATATAGAAAACATATGTGAATGTGAATAATAAATTAATATTGCTAGCTCTGTTTGATAAAATTCATATCATACCTCACTCCAAATACTTCTTTTGAGTTTGTCAAACTATTTTACTGCTTGGTGATAGTGTTCTATATATCTCTACTCCACCTGATAGCATCACAAACAATCAATATGTTCATCATTTGGCAACATCTTGGCCAGAGTTTGAACCTTAAGAGTAAAAAAAAAAAAATTTTTTTTAAAAACAGTCTCATTGAAACATTGAAAAAAAAAAAAGGACAAAAGAGACCAGAACTTCAGAAAAGAAGACATACCAGGTAGGGAAGGTTGTTCTCACATTAAATTTAATCTATACAAAAAAAAAAAAAAAAAAAAACCAAAAACCAGCTGTTCAATTTCACATGTAATTTTTTTTGGTCTATGTATATTAAAGTGTTACGGTTTGTCAAAACCACATACTTCAATAATGGAACCGCATGATCAGAGGCCACAGTCAATGGCAAGAAATTAACCCTACCTGTCTTGTAGAGTAGGATAGATTAAATCTCTGTGGAAAATTTAACCCTTTCTTGCCAGAATAGTGCCACTCTCCAGGAGACAGACCACTCTTGAATATCATACCACTCTTTAAATGAAATGAAATGCTCATTTATAAGCAACTCATCCATGGGTTGACAACCATCAAAAATTTTTTCTGGAATGTCATCCTTACTGCTAATCAAGGCTGATTCTGTTGTCCTTTTATATTATGACACCACTGGCTGAATTCCCCATGGGCACTCCCAAATAGACAGAGGCATTTTCCTCTATCATACCAGTTCAAATTCAATTCAATAAACATTTATTAAGATAGGCAATGTGCAAAGTGCCAGGGATACATATAAGAAAAAGAAACAGTCCCCTGCCTTCAAGGAGCTTATAATCTAATGGGGGAAGACAACACACAAAAGGGGAGGAGGGTGACCAGGGGATATT